AAAAGTTCTTTGTGCATTTTTCTTTTTTCTACTTGTTACTTTGCACTTTTTGTTAGAAAATGTTTATTTACTATTTATTCAGGTTTTTTAAGGTATCTAATATTTTGATATTTAATTTCCATGATCTAAATATTCTATAGTTTGTTGTCATTTGGAAGTGTGTAGGCCTTCTTGCATTATTATGCTGTTACATTATGATTATATATTCAGTGGCATAAAATGGTCTTTAAAATTACAATAATATCGCTTATCGCAATTATTTCTGGGGCAATATATCGCACAACAAAAAGTTGTTATCGTGACAGGCCTAGTATTGAGGTGCTTTATAACAATGGTTAATTTGAATAAAACTCAAACAGTCAGAATAATTACATTTGCATGTAAAAATGAAGTTGTTACAATTTTTACAGATGTTAATGTTTTTGATAATGAACATAAATTTACATCTGCATCCAAACTCAAGCTACTGTCAAATGTGCATTTCTAAGAGACAAAAATGTAGTATTATTAATATTGCAGCCTGCACTGCAAACTGTGCTGAAGATACACGTCATCAAAGTCAGGAACACAAACCGGTTTCATGATTTGAAACAATATCACTCATTAAAATATGCAGAAACGAAGAAATAATTTTTTTCTATTAAGAGATTTATTTTGTTAAGAAAAAAATCACTGGAAAACTGTAAATAATTCAAAAGCGTGAGGTGTTTGTCATGTTCTGACCATAAAGAGTAGTTTAAAACCACAGTTCATGTTCTGGTTTCTACAACTTTCACTTAGGAGCAAAAATCTGCCTTTAAACTGGAAAGATTTTAAAATGTATCGTAATATTTATCATTTTCAGTTGTCAGATTTAGGTTAAGGTTCCAAGTCTTTTTGGCTGCTAGTTCTGCAAATACTGTAACTGACCATGTGACCCCAAATATAAACAATAGATTCAATATATAAAACTAGATTCAGAAAGTTGCATCCACTCTTGCAGGTCATTCTGGTTCAAACATTCTGGTTCCTCAAGATTTCAAAAATGTCCTGACCCTTATTGACCTGTAAGTATTTAATATTGCCTTTTTGACCTTAAATGTCCACAGCATTGGGAGACAGTTGATATTACAGCATGCCAAAGCAACTACTGTGTCGTTTCACTTGCACTTGACCTCCGATTGTTCATCTACCTTCAATTCTAGCAACGCAAACGGCTTTACAGCTTCACAAAACAGCAAGGAAGTCACTCAAAATCATCTTGACCAATCGGCTTTTGGGGGTGTGGCTAATGCAGATCTCTCTGATTCACAGCGCTTGCATAATTTACGCTTGTATCAGTCCATGCCAGAGTTAAAGCCGTGTTCTCAGCATACTTATGCAGATGCTCGCGTAGCCGAGATTGTTCACTCACTGATCGGCTGCCAATATCTGAGCCTGTTGGCATTGGTTTCTCACACCTGCAGCCAGAGCGTGACTTCATTACTAAAGCGCTGTTCTGTTGGTAACCCATAAAGACAGGGTTAGACTTAGATCTGGACCTTCTAAAAAAGACCTGTGTTTTGGATGCTAAGCTTCTTCTCTAAAAAGATGGACTTCTTTAATGACAGCAAGCCTATGCAGATTCACCAGCACCAAACCAGCCTGGAAATTCATGCTGGTTTAGGTCCAGTCATTTAACAAGGTGAAGAGCGATATGCACACAAAACAACATCAAAGGCACCGTCAAACTATCTACGCAACTATGAATCAAGAACAAGTGGTGCTAAAGTATCTGGGAACATCTCTGAGAAGTAAAGTGCAATGTTCCTGGAAAGTAAAGCAAAAAAATGTCTAGTTATGTAATAGAAAGCATGAAGAAAGCCACAAATAAAGACATTTCCATGGTCATTATCACAAAATAAATCCCATCAGCATGATACAAGACCCTCTTGAACACCCTGCTGGGTCTATTTTGCAATAATGACAGCATTACTCTTCTCTTCTACTGTACGTGTATGATGATATGGTGAATGCTAGTATATTGTACCCCTCTAATGCTTCTGAATACATTGACTCTCTCCTCTGTCTCTCCGTGTTGGATGTGCAACGACACTAATGAACGCATTAAACATGTGCATCAACGCTCATCTAACAAATGCAAACCATGCATGCAAAAGTAACTGCGGTAATGCCAAAAATAGTATCTATCTATTATAAACGAATCCTTATGATTACATTGGGTTCGAGCTTATGAAAGTTTTTTAGTATTCAAATCAGGTCAAGGTTCCCACACTTTTTTGGTTCCAGGTTGGAGGATGTGCAACGATACTCAACGCTCATCTAACTAATGCAATCATGCATGAATAAGTGACTCTTGTAATGTCAAAAATACTATTTATTAGGACCGAATCAAAGAGATTATTGGATTCAAGCTTACGAAATTCATTTTTAGTTGTCAAATCAGGTTCCCACACTTTTGAAAAATGCCTTTCCAAGAGTTTTTCCAATGAATTAGATACGAACAGACATAAACAATTATACTTAATAGTGTGCAACGACAGATTACATTGGGATGAAGCTTATAAAATAACTTTTAGTTGTCAAATCAGGTCAAGGTTCCCACACTTTTTAACCAATTAATTGGTTCCCGGTTGGAGGATGGGAAACGACACTCAACGCTCATCTAACTAATGCAATCATGCATGAATAAGTGACTCTTGTAATGTCAAGAATATTATTTAATATGACCGAATCCATCTGATTACATTGGGTTCGAGCTTATGAAAGTCATTTTTAGTTGTCAAATCAGGTTTCCACACTTTTTAACCAACGAATTTCCAAGAGTTTTCCAGACATTCACGATTAGACGTGAAAAGACAAACAATTACACTTAATAGTGAACAAAACATCTCCAGAAAGACCCCCCACAGTTGTCGTCAATTAAATGTTTTGGAAATGTATATGCCTTTTAAATATTTCCATCACTTTTCTCAATTTGGCCCTTGATATTTCCAGGTTTTCTGTGACCAAAGCAACCTTGTCATGTAGAAACATCTTCTGAAAGGCAAAGTTGATCACCATTCCAAATCTAAATGACTTACTCTCTTCCGCAAAAGACATTTTGAAGAACACTGGGTTTGAAGACATTCTTCAAAATATCTTCTTTTTTTCCACAGATGAAAAAGTCATACAGGTTTGGAACGACATGTCAATGATGTGGATTTGTAGGGATTTCATTGAGTCAGGAACGGCTGTCCAGATGTTAGAGGTCAATGCTCATCTCCATGAGGAATGTTGCTGCTGTTGTGTGTCGCTTTGGGGACGTCAACTAACAGCGCACAGTAAAACCACTCATATTTCAATCACTTCAGCCAAATCTACACTTTATGAAACCAGTTGCAAACATGCAAACAAATAAGCCAGTAAATCACAAAGCCTCCTCATCAGGTGCACATTTGGTTCTGAAGCAGTTGGAATTTAACCCCGGATCAACATATGGAAAATACAGCAGCAGACAGACTGAAAATCACAATTGATTTGTGATCAGTATAAAGACTAAGTCAATCTGGTGTTGGGGGTCACAGACTGAGATTGCGGGAAACTATATTTAATAAGTTTGCACGAAACTCCAGCATTAATTTAGGAATGCATGTCTACTGTGCAGGAGCTCAATCACTTAGTTGATCAGATGAATGCACGCCAATAAATGCATTTTTTATCATCAATAATGCGCAAAAACTAGTGATTTTTTCCCCTTAAAATGTTAGAAAGAACCTGAATGAAGCTTTGCACATCGGGTCTCCACAGAAGCCCCCGGAGACTGAAAGTTACTCACGTTGTCGTTGTGGGAGAAACTTGTCCACTCCTTGTCCGTTGGGCTCCTAAATGCATTTGTATGCATTTGTCCAAGCAGCAGTTTTCAAAGCGAAAACAGAATTCCACAGCAGAAGACACCACCGGCTCATGAGACCAGATCCAGCCTGATCAGCAGCGTTCACATCACAGTCCGTCCAGACTCCGTCTCCGGGAGGACGTGCGCATGGAGAGCTTCACGGATCAGAGCTCGAACATCAAGCGCGCTGCTGGAAACTCGGGGCGATGACGGGAGACGGTGGGTTTACTGAGAGAGCAGATGAGCGAGAGAGAGAGAGAGAGAGAGAGAGTCGCTCTGTGCTCCGCATGTGTCTGGACTTGCTGCGCCTCGCGCTCGGTGTTGGGTTTCACTCATTACTGCCGTGACATCACCCATCCGACTCCGACCCGTCCGGTCATTTACATCCAGAAGACTCTGGAACAGGTTTTGCTTTATGGTCAAATTCAGAATGTCTAGCGAGAATAAATTCGCAATACAGTCAAATTAGTAGCACTATAGGCTGCCTCAGTAGTTTTGATTCTTCTTAAAATATTGCATATGATTTATCCGGCTAAACATGTCTCAAAATTGATTATACCATCTGCGGATGTGTTCAATCATCGTCTCTGGAAGGATTTGGAAAATTATACTGGGTGAAAATTTGATGTAGAATTACACTGAAAAAAATGCTACAAATTTTTTTTAAGGTAAGTGGTCGCAAACAATTTATTTTAGCTACATTTAATAAAAAAAAATGTTGAAATTTAGTCAAATAAATTTGTTTATTTAAATGTAGCTAAAATAAATCGATTGCAACCACTCACCTTAAAAAAATTTAGTAAATTCAATGAATAATTTTTTTCAGTGATAGTGATGTTTTATTTTAATATCAGTATAAATGTTTATTTTAAAGATCCCCCAAAAAAACCTGTTATGTAAATACATATTTGTATTATAGCTTATAGTTGAAGTATATTGGGTAAACATTGTACCATATAGACATGTCTGGGCGAACTAAATTTCTTACGTTGTATAAATGAAGACGAATTATGTTTTATTTGCTATTTAGGAAATCGTTTTCAGTACAGCTGTTTAAAGAGGAGGACAGATACAGTATGGCTACTTGCAAATAAAACATAATTTTTATGGAGAAAGTGATTATGAAATAAAAATACGTGTTTTTTATTTGATAATCACTTACTGTTACCACAAGAAATATCTAATAAAATAATAATAATAATTACTGCACAAAAGTATTTTTTAATGACCATAACAAAATAATAATAATAAATCATAAGATCAATTTAGATCAATAGTTTTTCAGTACAGCATTTTAAATTTGATGACAGATATTTGCAAATAAATTTATGAAGTGATTATAAAATTAAAAAAAAGAGTCATTTTTTTATTTGATAATTACTTTAATTAGACAAATAACATTATCAATATATTAGTATTAATAACTGTAAAAAATGAACTGTATTATTAACTGTAAATTATGAACTGTAATTATTATTTAATGACCTCAATGAATTATGCTGGTCATAATAACCATATAGAGACATATTTCACCATCCAATCAATTTGTCATGGATAAAGTCCTGCTCTATATTATTTCTCACTGAAACCTCGGTCTTGAACATCAGATGCTAAAGTCCTCAAGAGCTCATTCACTCTGACATTTGACCTTCTGTTTGACCTCACTGTAGCCCTGAAAGGTACTGGATTTAGCCTGAATACAAAAATAACTCCATCCCATCCTAGAAACCCAACTACACCTTCACACACAACCACTGATTCACAGCATGATGAAAACCGGAATAAGGGGCCGTTCACACCGGACGTGTACATGCATTCAGAAATAACTAGAAAAAAATACAAGTAGCCTATTTTAAGATGCATTTCTAAATGTTAAACTTGACAAAGCATTTCAAAAGCATGTATTTATAGACTAGTTTAAAAAAGGTCTATAGAATGAGCATTCGTTATCAAATCATACACTGAATTAATCGGTGACCGTGTTTTTTGTGCCGACTGTCACAATCACTCTTGTGAAAACAGGATAATGGGTCTCAAACGAGTGTTTTAATTTCACCCAGCAATATGACCCATTATCCCAGAGCAAACACGGGCCACTGAACCGCAGATCAGCAAACCTCATCATGTTGTGTTTGGGTTAAACGCCACTGCAGGTTTCCTAGTTCAAATCCCAGCTGGCCATCGTTCAATGTCCCAAAACGGCAGCAAAGCAAAAACGCAACACGAGTGTCTAAAACAGATTCAGTGCCTCGTTCAAACCCTAAACCTTCCCGTATGGATCTCTGCTGGTGAGAGACGGGAAATCAGACTTCCTCCCGGGAGGAACGTAATGGATGGAGCGCATGCAGGAGCGTGGACTGATGACAAACCCAGAATCCTCTGCACACACAACATCGCCATTCAAAACCAGCGGCCGGATTCATGAACATTTCCTAAAAAAGAACGAATAAATAAGAAAAATTTGGTGACAATGTGCTCACCCTCAGGCCATCCCAGATGCATTTGAGTTTGTTTCTTCATCAGATTTGGAGAAATGTAGCATTGCATCACTTGCTCTGCAGTGAATGGGTGCCGTCAGAATGAGAGTCCAAACAGCTGATAAAAACATCACAATAATCCACACTGATTTTAGCCAGAAGCAATGGTTTGAAGTTAAAAAGGCCTTAATGCTGGATTTGTTTCAGCTTTTGTCTTCTCCAGATGTTAACTGATGGACTGGAGTGGTGTGGATTACTTGTGGATTATTGTGATGTTTTTATCAGCTGTTTGGACTCTCATTCTGACGGCACCCATTCACTGCAGAGCATCCATTGCTGAGACACTGATGCAATGCTACATTTCTCCAAATCTGATGAAGAAACAAACATCTTAGATGGCCTGAGGGTGAGTAAAACTGTCAGCAAATTGTCCGTTTTGGGTGAAGTATTCCTTTAAAATTTGTTTTTGGAATACAAAGGAAATTAGCAGTTACAGATAATTTTATTCTTAAAAAAGAATTAGCCCTGCTGACTTAAACTGTTGGTAAGTCTACTAGCCTTGGCAATCTGGTTGTGATGGTCTGATTTATGGTTTTAGAGGGGCACTTGTCAGCTGATCAGGCTAAAAAACAGCTTGACCTGGTGGTTAGACCAGCTATCCCACCTTAGGTTGGTTTTAGTTGTTTTTTGCAGAAGGGAAAACAGAGTTAAATCAAAAACACAATATATTACATCTACAGCTTCTGTTAATTTGATCATAGCAACATAAATGTTAATGTACAGTTCTGTTGTTTTACAACCGGTTCCAATGAAGTGGTTGTTTGATATTTTTAATTGGTACATTAACTGGCTTATGTAAATGTTCATACGCTATAAACGAACACGCAGTGTGCTGGCATAAACGCCACATGTCGAGCTCCCATTAAAGCCAAACACTGGTGGTCCCCATCAAACCTCATGGGAGCCGATAAGAGATCGAATGAGCTGGAATTCAGCTTCATTAATATTGCGGTTAATGTGGTTAAATAGTTCTGTGTGTGTTTAAAGATATGTGAGCAGCTACAGCTGTTAGCATTGCAAACAAACATTCAGCTCAGTTCTTCTTTAATTGGATAAATCGCCCAAAAAAACATGACTTACTTTCTTCTGCAAAGTACAAAAGGTTATATTTTCTGAAACACTCTACAAAATATCTTCTTTTGGGTTTTGCAGAAGAAAGAAATTCACACAGGAGGGTAACTAAATGATGACAGAATAATGATTTGCTCATTTGTGGCATGGTGTCGATTACAAGCAAAAATGATGCTAAATGGTACAACAGCAATGCATGCGCAATGGGAGTCAACTGGACTAGCAGTCTAGAGGGTTTTGAAGTGAATTATTCAGTGAAAACTGTTTATGTTGTCTAATTCATCTCTTTAATTTTGCATTTCCTCCTGTGGGTGGAATTTATGCCATGCAGACAGTATTTTGCATGTAGTTACTGTACATCACGTCACTTTCTGGTGTCCTTGTCCGTTTAGGATGCAAAAGTTACAGGAATTGTAATACAATTACATATTTGCACAGCTGAATTTCTCCTGAATGGAGAAAAATGCATTTGCCTGCAAAATGGTGCAGTTACTGAGCAATGTAAATAAATGTATTATGGTCTACAATATATTGAATATTAAGCAAGTCAAACATGGATTTCTACTAAAAAAAAAAGTCAACTAAATTTCTCACATTTTATAAAGATGATCCTTTTAGAAAATTGTTTTTCAGTACAGCATTTTAAATATAAAGACAGATATTTTCTAATAAAATCTAATTTTTATGAGTAAATTGATGATCATAAAAAGTCATTTTTGTTTGATAATCACTAATACTACTACTAAACTCTAAAAAAAATGCTGGGTTGTTTCAACCCAACTTTGGGTCAAATAAATACTAACCCAACTTTTGGTTTAAAAATGTAATGT